CCAAATCCAGACCTCTTTATATAATAGTCAGGCCCCCTCCCTTTTTTCTGGTACTGGGGATTGAACTCAGGACCTTATGCTTGCGAGGCAGGTACACTGCCATTGAGCTAAATCTGTGGCCCTCAGGGGTGCTCCTTTTTTATTCATTAAGTTTATTGGTACATTTTAGGTATACAATGCAATGACATTCATCATTGGGAATTTGGACCTTTACATGATTCATCTTGGTTCTTATTTTTTCCCCATTCCCCTGCCTTCTCTTCAACCCCTCCACCCCTTCCTATTTACAAAGACTTTGTTTCCATTTTTCCTTATCTCATATTTTTGTCTTTCCTTCTTTCCTTTTCCCTACCCTGAGTTCCCCTTGGGAGACCTTTTCTTCCTGTTTCACATTATCTTTTGGTATAGAACATTTTGATCACTCCTGGAAATTCTTACCCATTTTTGGCTAATTCTTGCCCCACACTCCCCCATGAATTAATTTTGCCAGTTTCAGAACTCTGTGTATTTACTCAGCATACAGTGTTCATCTATGTCGTCCTATAGCTTAGTAGTTCATTCAGTTTTAATGCTGAAGAGTATCCTGCTGCATGAAAATATCACAACTTATTTATCCAATGATGGACAATTTGGGTTGTTTCTGGTTTGAGGCTATCATGAATAAAAGTTATGAACCTTTGGGCACGAGTATTTTTCATGGTCATGTATTTTCACTCCGTCAGGGAAACTTTCAGCCGTAGAACTTTTGGATCATCATAGATATATTTTTAATTTCCTAAGAAACAAATAGTTTTCCAAAGTGATTGTACCATTTTAGTTTCCCACCAGCAACGTACAAAAGTTCTGGGCATTTTCTTGACATTTAGTGTTATCAATATCTTTTAAGTCCTTTTGGTAGATATATAGATTTCATTCTTGTCTTAGGTTGCAATTATCTGAGTACAATACTGTGATGAGAATCATTTGATGTGCTTCATGGCTACTCCCATCTCTTTTGTGATATGTCTGCCAAAATTGTGTTACTCTGAATACAAGCTCTGTGTCAGATACATGAATGGTGAACACTTTCTCCTGATCTTGTGCTTTCATTTTCATTTTCTTAATAGCACAGGTTTTTGGGTTTTGTTTTTGTTTTTGTTTTTTTTGGTACTGGTAATCGAACTTGGGACCTTCCACTTGCAAGGCAGTGGTGGAACCCATAGCACAGGTTTTAGTTTAACTTCTCTTTTCTTTTTGTGTCTCGTCCAAGAATTGTGGTCACAAAAATTTTTTTCTTTGGAAGTGTAACTGTTATAGTTTTTATGTTTAGGCCTATAAACCATTTCCAGTAGTTTTTGTTTATGGTGTGAGATAGAGGTCAAAGTTTTTTCTCCATATAGGTATTTGGTTGTTTCAGCATCACTTGAAAAATGTGTCCTTTTTACACGGAAACACCTTGGCATATGTCAACTTGACTGGGCTAAGGGATGCACAAATACTGGTAAGTCATTTCCAGGGGGGTTTGTGAGGCCATTCGTGGGTGGTTCCGGACAAAGGAAGTGGACACAGATCAGCCGGATCCCAGCACCTGTCTCCGAGCTGGTGAGACCCCCACTCTCAGAGAAGGAAGCGGCTGGGCTCCGCCACGCACTTAGCCATGTCTGCCCTTCACTACTGAAGACCCTCTCTCGGGGCCCTTCCCGACGTGACCTTCCTCCACCAGTGGCTTCTCTCACCGTGCTCACATAGCACTCTATGCTCAGGCTCCATCCTTGCCTCGCAGCAGTTTGGAGGATTTGATGCCCTAATGGATGGAAACCTATGCTATAGTTTCTGGCACAAGGTAAAAACTCAAATAACGTGAGGGTTTATTATCCCAGTAGAGGTAGAGGAATCATGGTGGGCTTCCCAGATGTGTTAGTTACTTGTTCTCTTGTTGCTGAGACAAATTACCTGACACCCAAAGTTAGAGTGGAAAGGGTTTAATTAACTCACAGTTTGTAGAGTTTTCAGTCCATAATCAGCTGGCTCTAAGGCACGGGGGCACATGGCAGAGGGGCAATAGTTGGCAGTGAAAGACAGCAAAAGCAACAAGGAACCTTAACATCCAGACTACTGGGATCAGGATGGTGCCCCAGCGATCATTCACATGTAGTAGTTTAGTAGTCACATGCCTGACATCCCAGCATCACACATCCCAGATTCAGCCACCTCTGAAAAAGCCTGAGACTTCGGGGGCACATCTAAACACAAGCCGTAACCCCAGGGAAGGTGGCACTGGAGCTAGCCCTTGAACAGTGGGAAGGATTTGGATATGTGAAGTTGTGGGGCAGCAGGAATGTAGAAAGGAGCAAAAGCATGTAGAGGGCAGGGATAAGACCTTGGAATCTCAGACTGGCTAGGCCCAGAGGTGTGGAAGAGAGTAATACAGGACTGAAAATGGGAAATACTAAGCTACTCCAAGTTCAGTCTCTGTTCTGTGGACAATGGGGAGCCATATAAGAGACACTAAGCAGGTGAGATTGCCTCAGCCACCATCCTTTTGCTGATAGCCCCTGTTTGCCTTTTGCTTCCCCTCGGATCCCCACACAACAGCCAGAGGGATCTTTTAGAAACTGGCATCCCACCATTTCATTCCCCTGTCCCTGGCCTTACATTTTTCACTGGCTTCCAAAGATTCTTGGACAAGGCCGTCTTTCCTTTTTATTTATTTAATTTTCTAGTACTGAGGATTGAACCTAGGGCCCTTGCACTAAGCAACATACCCAGCTCCTTTTAAATTTTAAAAAAATTTGAATAGGATCTAAGTAACTAAGGTGTCAGTCTGGGCTCAAACTTGTGATTCTCTTGCATCACCCTCCCAGAGTGCTGGGATCACAGGCAGGTGCTGCCACACCAGGCAACTCCCTCCTCTTGGAGCTGCCCTGCCCATCTCTGTGGTCTCCTTGTCCTCTATCAGCTCCAGCCGTGCTGGCCTTCATCTAGTCCCTCCTACTTCCTTCAGTCAACAATTGGGACATTTGTACATGATATTATTTTTGCCTGAAATTCTTTTGAAAAAGAATATATTTAATTCTTACCCATCCTTCACATTAACTCCAGAGCCCTCCATTCAGAAAGTTTTTCCTGGCTCTCCACTTTTTTCATAAATGCTCACAGTACCATGTATTTCTCCTTCGTAACACTATCCACAGTTGTAATTCTGCCTTTATTTGTGTGACTGCAAAGGCCAGCAGGGTATCAGTTCCATGATTATAGAGACTGGGATTCCCCTGCATACTACTATGTTTTGGGGCCTAGCACAGTGCCTGATATAAATATCTGTGATATGAAACCATCACACAGGGAGTAGAATAGAGAGTAACAGCTCAAAGCCAGTAGCATCTTCAAGAGGCTGTTGCCATGACTCAAATGACAAAAGGTGCTTGGAACTGGAGCAGGTGCAAGGAAGTTATGAGGGGAGAGTAGCAGTGGCACTGATGGGAAGGGAAACAAATGAGCAAGTTGGGGGCTGGGAGTGCATACAGCTCAGTGGCAGAGTACTTGGCCCAGCGCAACAGCCTGGGTTCAATATCCAGCACCATAAAATAAATGAGTAAATTAGCAAGGTGAGATTGTAGAGGCACTGTGACCTAGAGGGTGGAATGCAGGCTGTTGCCAAAGAATGGGGCTTGGGCAAGTGGGAGGAGTCACACAGGCAAGCAGCAGGCTGAATTAGATGTTTCACTGTCCTGGAAGTAGCTCAGAGTGCAAGTGCAGAGTTGTGGATGGCTTGGTAGACGGGTGGAGGGGCTTAGAATTCTGAGCCAGAGAGGACAGGACTGCAGTGAGAGGCAGGCACCTGCACCAGAACAGAGTGGAAGGGCCATATTTTTCACATTTCTGAACCTCAGCTTTGTCACCAGGGAAGCGGGGCAGCACTGTCAGCCTCCTGGCGTGATTGTGAGGCTGAATGAGATCATTACGTACTGTCCTTAGCAAGTTGCCGGGCATGAAGTAAGGACTTGATAAGTCACCACCAGCACCACCACCATCATTGTAATTGTCATCATCAAAGTACTTAACTACATTTCCATGCTGAACTCAGGAGCCTCTAAGAATTAGAATATAAAATGACCAAATGTGCGACCTGAGGCCGAAAGCAGTCACACTTGGGCAGATTCTGCTCAGGCCTGCTTCTAGTGGAGCTGCGACAAGTTCAGGAGGCCAGAAGGCCTGAGAAGAACAGAACAGTAAGAGCCTGAGGTCATGGGGACAGCCCTAGACAGCAGGTGACCCTTGTGTCCTACGCAGGGGCATGAGGACACCTTTGCAATATTTGGACACACTGCCTATCAAGGTGCTGAGACTCTCCCAGGGTCCTCCCCATTCTTAAATTCCCCATCAGCTCCTGCATCTAACTGGTTTCCCCAGGTTAACTAGATCCAAGAGAAACAGCTCACCATGGAGTGACATTTGGATCAGAGCTGCTAGGCTCCAGCTCCAGCCTTCCCCACCCAAGACCCCTCATCTATTCTGTATGATTCAGGAGGTGAGACTGGTAGAACAAAAATGTGGTCTTGGATGGAAAGTAGAGGGAGGGAGAACAGTGTTTTTGTTTTCTTTTGTGACAAGTAGGAGGCTCACAGAGGAAAGGAGGCAGGAAAAGCCACAGGGGCTGTCTTCAGGTTGCAGAGGGGCTGTAGAATTGAGCCCTAGGCCATGGAGGGCCCTGCTCCATCTGCTCCTGCAAGTTGGCCAAGCCCGTTAATCTCTGGATCTCTATCACACCACCCTGCCCGCTTACTGTCCTGAGAGAAAGTGGCCTGCACGGTGTGGTTATGTTTCCAGCTGTATCCTGCCAGTGAGGGGTGGGCTTGGTCAGGTGTCCCCACACCTCACCTCTCCGGGAGGACCCTTCCTCCTCTCCCTTGGGAAGGTAGTGGAGTGTGAGTAGCAGTGGGGATGGGGTGTGTCTGGAAACCCATCCAGAGGGGCTGCCAAGCCGGACAGACTTCGAGGTCTTTGTTCTCTCTCTGCAGTCTCGAAGTAGCATGCAGCATGGGGACATCGATGGGGCCCGGAGGCTGGGCCGCCTGGCCCGGCTACTCAGCATCAGCTTCATCATCCTGGGGATCGTCATCATCATTGTGGCTATCAACTTCTTAGGTGAGGCACAGCTGCATGGAGTAACGGGAGCCACTGGGGTAGGGACAGTGGGCGCGGGTCACAGCCTTATTTTTTCACTCCAGAAAAGTGGCCCAGTGACCACATGAATGGGGATTTTCTGACTTGTCTTATGCCCAGGTGGTAAATCAAAAGAAAAGGGTGTGGAAAGGACACCACCCTAGGAGTGAGAGGCCATGAGATCCAGTCTCATCTCTGATGGCCCTGGGACCTGGGCCAGTGTCCTGTTTGGTTGAGCTCAGTGTTTTCATGTATCAAGTGCCAGGAAAAAGCCTCTAGTCAGAAAGGTTTTGTGAGCATCATTCAAGATAATGGATGTGACTCTGCTTTGTAAACTGTGGGCTTGATGCACTGATCTTGTGCTGAGGCAGCCAGTGTAGACCAGAAGCAAACCACATATTTGGAGGAAATCAGGAAGCAGCACTCTGTAAGTACCTTTAGGTGGCCCAGGGAAGTTATCACAGCAGGGAAACCCTTAAAGGGGTTTTCAGCAGCTGCTACAGTCCATGCAGCTTTGTGAGTTTGAGTTTTCCAACTTTTTTTGCTGGGATAGCTCTTCTCTCTTCATTGGTCAAGCTAATCCTTTCCTCTATAAACCTTGCTACACCAAACACATTCCATGCCAGATGTGGTGAGATGTGCCTATAATTCTAGCACTCAGGAGGTTGAGGTAGAAGGAGTGTTGTGAGTGTGAGGCCAGCCTAGGCTACAAAGTGAGTTCAAGGCAGCCTGAAATGAGCATAATGAGACCTTGTCTCAAAAAAAAAAAAAAATTCAATAAAAATCAAACAAAAGACTAAAATGTGCTCCATGGACTGCAGCAGGAGCATCTCCTTGGACTATGTCAGAAATGCCGAATCTCACTGAACTGGAATCTGCATTTTGGTACAATTCATAGTCCAGTCACTGACGTGTGGCATGCACTTCTTTAGAATATGGAGCTCAACTTGGGCCAAAAGGCCTGGAGTCTGGGGGTGGCCCACTCGGGAGAGAGGAGTGCTCAGGTTGGCGGTCAGCGTAATCCAGGTCTTCCTCTTTCTTGCTGTGGAAATTGAAGCATATCTCACAAGCCCTCTGAGCCTCACTTTACTCCATTAGTGCAGTGTCTGATGTGTGCGCAGGCAAATGACAGCAGAAGCCAGTAGCCCAGGGTATTAGTAGCCCAGCACCCTTTGTCCTGCTGTTGCTTGCCATTTTAGCCAGGACTCTTTATGACAAGTGACAGTTTCTGAACTCAAACTTGCAAAATGAATTTCTTAGCTTCTATAAAAAAATTCTAGCATAGACTGTTTTAGCTTTCAGCAAGGCTGATCCAGATGAGAGAACGATGGTGACAGGAGTCTGATTTGCTCTCCTGTGCTGCTTGCTTTCCAGTGTGTTGGCCTTGTTACTAGGCAAGATCTCTCCCTATGATGGCAAGGCAGTAGCTAGCACTTTAATAGTGGCCCTAATAGTGGCACACATTTTAATCAGTCCAGAAATAAGAAAAAAGAGAAGTGCTTCTTTGTTAACAGTTATAGTGACAGTCCCAGGACGGATTGGGATTGGCCCAGGTAGGGTTACATGTTTACTTCTCAACCAGTCACCAGGGCCAGCCTTCTCTTTGGCAGGAATTCAGTTCTGCAAGAGCCCCAAACCAAAGAGTTCCTTGATCTTATACATTATCCAAGTATCATTTCCACAAACCAAATTCTCACATCAAGGGCTTGAAAATCCAATGTTCTGAGTTCTGTTCTGCTATAACTGTTCTTTTCTTTACAGTTCCGAAATACAAGTAACCAGGAAGCCATGCTAGCAGAGGCAGATGCTGGCCAGCTGGAGAGCTCTGAACCCACATATCCTACACACCATGGGAGGACAGAATGGCGACTGCCGAGTGCCCATCTGTCCCCCAGCTCTAAAAGCACAAACTTGAAGGGCAACTCCCAAGTTACCCACTGTCAGCCCACACTTTCTGGCGGAAGGAAGTAAGGCAAGAAGGAAAGAAAGAAATATGTGGTGGAACCAATGAATGATGTAGGTTAATCTCATGGATATGTCCTGACATTTTGACCCCGATGTTCTGGCTTGTTTCTCATCCCTACAATTTCCTGGACCTACCAAACAGCATGAACTGTCAGAATGAGAACCAGCCCCACAAACAAGTCCATTATGGTAGGAGAAAAAACATCACTGGACCTTCGTGTCTGTGGACTAGGAGCAAAGACGTGGGACTTCATCTTTTGTATTTTTCTTGAGGGTGAGAAAACAGACCATTTGCATGCTTTATGTCACATGCCTGCTGTGATCCCAACCTGAGCTTCAAGGCAAGGCTGCCACTCAGCACATGCCCTAGATACCCTCAGGCACACGGGTGATACAGCTGCCCTGGGAAGAGGGAGCAGCCTCGGGTACTTTCTCTATTGCAAGGTGGAGGCACTTAGAGGAATGTTGGTGAAGATAGAGGCAGGGATAGCATGATACTCTTCCCAAACTTTTCAGCCTCAGAGCCCCTATGCTGAAGACTCTGGTCCCCTTGTGTCTCCCAGGACCACTTAGTCTGCCTCTTGGTCTTCACCTGTGCTGCAGCCTGGGGCACTAACTCCCAAGACCCGACCCAACCCAGGCCAGTCAGTAGGGAAAAGGGTCTGAGCTCTTTCTTGTTCTGTCCTGATCTCCTTGAAGGACAAATGGGCACAAGCTCAGGAATCTCCTGCAGGGTGGCTCAGGGGTCCCCATGAAGAGTGGTTCTGGTTGGGCATGGCTTCAGGCTCCCAGCCCAGACTCATCAAATGCTCTGTGCTTAGCCTTGTGTCCCTGGCAGTCATCATTCAGCCAAGGCTTTCCCTGAAGGTGGCTTTGGGGCCACACTTAGGGGGACTTCCTGTGGGTCCTCAGGCTGTTATGGGTGTTTGCCATGCCCAAGAGGGTGTGGGCCAGGGTATTTTTATGCGGGTTTGTTGTTTCTTGGCTCTTGAGTCCCACGACAGAGGGAAGAGCATAGCTGAAGGGTACCATCTTTGGAGAGCAGGAAGCCCACGTTTGGGAAAACATTTGCATGTTGGATGCACAGGGCTGGACATCTACAAGTTGCTGAGCAGGGCCCTCTGCCTCCTGCCTGATTTTACATCTTTGATTCTCCCCAACATTCTCCCTCGAAAGGCTTTACCCACAGGGTACTCCTGAGAATGACCCTAGCTTCAGGTCAGAGATGTTCTAGGCTTCCCTGATTTGTATCCAGAGTGACCGCTCTCAGTGGGGGACAGGTTCCCAGCCTCAGATACAGTGCCCTGAGGTTGGCAAGGTTTATCTCCCCTGTACCTTATCAGGACCCTTGTCTTGAGACAGTGGTAGCTCTGAGCCTTCCAGACAGGGTCCAGGTGCCTGCTGGGAGAGGAGGGGCACTGAGTGGACCTCTTTGGGATTGGTGTCCCTATGTCATTACCCAGTGAAGTAGGAATAAACTTCAGCCTCTTCGGCTCCTAAAGCAGGGACTAGTTTGGGTTTGCTGTATGGGATCTTTGAAGCCCAAACAGAGATATCCCCATTTTCTGGGAGGGTAGGGAGTATGGGAGCCCAGGGTATGTTTGTCACTTGGAGGTCAGCTCAGGCCAGGGCAGACATCAGGTCTATGGGACCAGCTTCTCCCAGGCCTTTGGTCAGGCACCAGTGGTCTCCTGTTGGGCCTTGTCCCAGCTTTAGCAACCCTGGAGGAGAAGGAAAGGAGTCTTGTGGTTTAGGGGCAGTCACATGGTGAAACCAAGGCAGAAGCGGTCTCTGTGGCCTCTGTGCTCTTGGAGTGCCACTCACATCCAGTCCTCCTGGCCTATAATCACACTGGCACATCAGGCCCCCTGTGCATGCCCTTTCACACATATACACACTCTTCCACACTCCAAGCCCAGAACAGTCAAGGGCCATGCTCAGGTGAAGACACCAGCAGACAGCGCTAGGAGAAGCTCCGCTGGATCCCTTTCCTGTTCCAGCACAAACAACACTAGAGTTCCCTAGTGGTGCCAGGGACACAGCTCAGAAGACCCCAGAGGCCGGTGCTGGGCAGAGGGGAGCTCAAAGCAGGAAGACAGCAGTGTCCTGAATGACAGAAAATGGAGGGAAGGTCCCTGCTGCCCCGAGTCATGGGCAGCTTGGCATCTCCAGGCTGAAGCTAGGAGGGACAGTGGCCCTGTTGTCCTGGTTCTGTCTTACATCCAACCACCTGGCATGTGAACACAAAGGTTCCCTGGCTGGAGGCACAGACACACACTCTCTCTGGGCCCCCTAAAGAGCAGCAAAAACTACCCGCTCCCTACTGCCATTACCACATGCACCAGTGATTCTGTATTTCTTGGCATGGAGAGAAATAAAGGTGAATGTAATTATTTCCTGCCTTGTGTGTATGTACTGCTGAGCTCCAGAGATTTCCAACAACTAGGAAGAAGGGGGCAGTCCACTCAGCCTGCTGGTCCCCATCTCAGGCGTCGACCCTAAGGACCATGTGCACCCTGGGTCTCCACAGACAATGCACAGCATTCCTCTGGGCAAGTCATCCATGCTATCTGGGCCTCAGTTTCTCCCACTGTAAAACAAGTGGGTGACACTGGTCCTATGCTCCTCTGGTCATTCTTACTGATATGAACAAGGACTTGGGTGGAGAGAAGAGAGTGGAAAACCAGCTCTTGCTGGTTCCAGGCATGTTCTGGGTCCTTTACACACACTGATAAATCCACATGGGGGTTATGGTCATTAGTATCATTATCCCCCTGCTCAGATTGGTAAACTGAGGCTCACAGAGGTTCAGGGCCTTGTGTAAGGTCACACCAAGCTCAGCATTGAAGGTGCAAAATACACGCTGGTGACATGACTAGATCCCTAGGTCTTTCTGACCCCAAAGTTAGCTTCGCTGCCAGACTTTGCAGCCCAGAAAGGAAAAGCACCATGGAAAGAAGGTGAAAGTTAGTGGTTTTGGGGGAAAGGGTGGGAGGGGGATCCATCTTCTTGTCTGCAAGGTGCTACAAAGGCAGGGGCTGCTTTCCTGAGGAGGGTAGGGATGTAGCCTTGGGCAGAGACACCAGCATCGGGGCTGTCATGGAGGGTCAGAGACTGGGTAACCAGGAGAGCTGGGTTGGGGAGGAGGAGGGAGGAAGTGAAGGGACAGTGGGTGCTAGGATCAAGGGGCAGCAGAGCAGAGAGGTCAAGGCCTGAGATCCAGAGCCAGCCCACCTGGGTTTAAGTCCTGCCTGGCTAATTACTGGCTGCATCCTCTTGGGGGAAGCCCTTCAACCTCTCTATGAGCATCTAGTGGAATAATCCAGCTAAACACTGTAGCATGACTCAGACAACCCCATCTGCTTCCACTGGGACAAAGCAAAGGCTTGAAGCTGGGGTGTTCTTTGAGACTAAGGACCTGTCCAGGCCAGAGGCCTGTTCCCTGGTTCTCCTCTATCACTGGTCTGCCTGCCTTGGTTGAGCAGGTTACCAGGCCCACTGTATACCTCTGTGGGAGGACTGGGACCTGCCTCCTTCATTCTGCACGAACAAGGATGTGTTTTATACCCTTCATGAACATTTGTGGGAGAGATAAAAAACAACTATCCTCCACTCTGCACCCCACACCCTGGTCCCTGATTCAGATCCGATGGCTCCGGCTTTATTTCTCCCGGAGTGAGGAGTGCGGTAATATGGTTAGCCGCGCCTGCTTTCCAAAAGCCACTCCTAAAAAAATCAGGAAATGACTGTATGTGCATCTATTTCATCTTGGGTTCAGGTCCATTCATTTAACAAGCATCTGCTGTGTGCTAGCTGGGGGCCGGCTGTGGGCATGCGCAGATGAATGAGGCCCCCGGCTCTGGCTTGTCTTCCAGCCTAGTGAGGTATGCGGATGCTTCAGTGGTTGCTTCCCTGAGTGCCAGAGCAAGCAGCAGGCTCCGCTTGGAAGGCGAGGGCAGGAGTGGCTTTCTCAAGTGACTCCAAGGCGAGACTCTCCTTCTCTCTTCCCACAAACCTGTACTAAGCCTCTACTACATGCCAAGCCCTGTGTTGGACCCTAGGGACACAAAGAGGAAAAGGACAGGCTTCCTGGATCACACGACCTCTGACCTAAAGGAAAGCTCTATGGAAGGAAGGGGAGGATTTGCTGTGGTTTAGGGAGGTGAGTGCCTTGGGTAGATAAGGACAGCAGAGCCTGCATTCTGGAGCTCCAGAGACCTGTCCTGGAAGATCCAGGGAGCTAACCAGCCAGAAAGTGGCCTCTACAACGAGCCTCTCAGGTCAGAAGCTCTGTGTAGCAGAATTTCCTCCCAGCCACACTGGGGTAAGGTGGATGATTCCTAGTGCTGGTTCCTGAGCTCCTTGCTTTGTGAGAATTATCTCACTTAATCTTCCTCCATGAAAGATCAACTACCTTCCTGAGAAGAAACAGATCAAGCGACTTACTTAAAAGCATACAATTAGAAACAGTGGTAAAGCAGCACAATCCTTCAAAAGGTGAGCTCTGGTGCTAGATTTTCATCCCTGTAACAAAATACATATCCACGAAAAACAATTTAAAGAAGAAAAGGCCTATTTGGCCCATGGTATTAGAGGTTTCAGTTCACGGTCAGCTGGCTCCTTTGCTTGTAGGCCTGACATGTGGCAGATCATCGTGGTGGAAGGTATGTGTGAGAGGGCAGTCAGGAAGGGAGGGAGGCAGTGAGGGAGAGAGAGACGCGACCTGAGCTGGTGGGCTTCCTCTTCCTTCTGCTTTTGTTTCATTGGGGCCCTAGCCTCTTGTACGGTCCCCAAAGCCAGGCAGGTCTCCCCTGTCAGTTTGCTTTCCCACTTGCTAGGCATGTCTGGAAAACCCTTACACATCCAAAAATGTGCTTTATTAATTTCCTAGGCAGCTCTGAACCCAATCAGGTTGCCAGTCATAATTACCTACCACAGAGGATCAGTCTCTCTGGGCCTTAAAACACCTATGTGGTCTTCCAAGGGAGTCAGCCAGTTTAATGTCTTTGGCTGCCCTGCCTGGCATGTGACAGTCACATTTCTCTGCTATCCTTTCCCTCTGTGCTGCACCATAGTGATCTTTTTGTCATTTTAAGCACTGTCTGGGAAATCACATTAAGATGAAAAGCCACCAGGGTGAAGCCACCAACACTAGGATGAACAGGCACCCTCTACACACACTATTACTGATGACCACACCACTCTACTGCCAAGCTTGGTGGCCTGACAGTCTCTTTGGCATCATTTTTCAGACACAATGCAGTTACAGAAACATAGAGGGGGCTAAAGGGAGGACTTGTGGTTTGGAACGAGTAAGGGAAAAGGGGAGCACACATGACATTGAAGGATTCAAATGACAGATGGCTGTGCCACTGCAGTAGGAACTTTGACTTGTGAAGAGGTTGATGATTTCCCCCACAGCTCTGGGACTTCCCAGGGGCCAGGGCCACATGGGTGTGAGAGAATGAGAACTGAACATATGAGAGATGTGAGTAGCAATGTCCTGGGCAGACCTCTCGTCCCCAAGCCTGAGGGTTCTGTCCACCTTCCAGGCTGACCCTTGAATTCCTACTCTCCTTTGCCTTCCTCTGCCTCCTAATAAGACAAGAGACAGCTGTGTATTTAGGAACCAAACAAATCAAGCCATCCACGCATTGGCTATGTGGTTGTGGGCAGATGCCAGCCTCTCTGGGCCTCAAACTCCTCATGTAAAGGAGTGAGCCAGCCTAGAGATTGTTTCTCATTCTGGTCACACATGGGAATCACCGGGAGTGTTCCAAAATTGTGGCACTGGTGAGTCTGGTTTAATAGGTCTGGGCATCCAGGTATTTTGTTTTGCTTTTGGTACTGGCAAATGAATCCAAGGGTGGTCTACCACTGAGCTAAATCCCATTCTGTTTTGGACAGTCTTGCTGAGTTCCCTAGGTTGGCCTTGAATTTGTGGTCCTCCTGCCTCAGCTTCTGAGTATCTGGGACTATAGGTCTGTGTTGCTATGCCTGGTGAATCTAGGTTTTTAAAATTTCCAGGCAACCTCTGCAGTTGCTCAAGACTTGGAGTCACTGGTCTGTACTCTAGAGCCTTGCTACTCGCGAGAGAATGCAGAGACCTGTTGCCAGAAGCAGAAGCCTTACTGTATCAGTCAGAGAGTGGTTCATATGTACTCTAAAGTTGGACAAGTGCTGGTTGAGTTTTTGTTCCATTACAGGCACCACCTTCCCTCTGGCTCTCACTTCTGTTCCCTGGGAGTGGGCCAGCTGTGCCACAGTCTCTTGTGGAGGGGCACTTCAGGCTTTAGCTTCTCCAGTGGGTCTGCAACTCCTTTCTGGCAAGAATAATCTTCCTCCTGCCAGTCTTGCCCTCCTTCCTTTAAAGGTTTATTGTAACGAACAGAAAAACCTAGGAAATCTTGCTTGTGAGTCATCTTGCTTTGCTTGAGAAGCAGATAAAGACAAGAGATAAACTGAGGCCTCCTAACAGCAGCCAAAGCCCACTTTCTAAATGGTTTACCAGTAAGCCTGAGCCTGGAGTGTAAAGGTCAGGTGGAGGTGTGCCCCAAAGCACAATCCCAGAGGCACTGAGGGCCTTCGGGAGTTTCCTCAGGGATGGAGGAATGCCAAGTGGGTGTCTCAGAGCTGCTCAGACAGAAACTTGAACCACAATGAATGACCTGGGTTCTTCTGAGTCCCCACCTTCACCTTCAGGCCCAGAGGAGGAGGAAGAGACTGAAAGAGGAAGGCCACCCCTGGCCAGGGTGGGGCTTCCTACCCCCAAGGTTGGTCTAGGTTCATATGGAAGCTCTGTGGTGATCTTCAAATAGTTCCCTGTAGGCAGAGCAGGAATTGCCTAAAAGGTTCCCCTTCCTGGGGCTGTCTGCAGCCTCAGAAACTAGCCTGGTCTCTTGAGGGCAGGTGGATTTCAGAGGCCCTGGGCACAACATAACAGGGCGTGCTGCCCTGTGGCTGCCCTGCTGGGCAGGGCTGAGGAGTCTTCCCCTGAAGCTGGCAGCACAGGCGCTCAGCTGGAAGGGGCCCTGCCAAGGCTTCTGCATCCTGCATTATTGATCTGTTGCCTGGCTATGGGCATTAATAATTCATAGGGCACCACTGCAAACAGGCATCCTGACTCCTCCCCACCTCAGTGCCTCAGTGCTTACTCCTTTCGGCTTAATGGGAGGTGGAACTGAATCTCAGATTCTTCTTGCTCACAGGGAAGGCCCAGGAATGGCCTCCAAGCTTGAATTTGCAAGGACCCTGGTGTAATCCAGGATCAGCTGTCCCAAGCCCCTGGACAGGGGTGCCCATCCTCACCACGTTTTCACTTCTCTCAGCCTCCTCTTCCTCTTCAGTAAATAAGGATAATGGAACCAGGAGGGCTAGGTTGTTTATG